AATTTAAATAGTTAGGACTAAGAATACTTAGAGCATAATTGGATATAAATCTAATCCAAAAAATCCAATCATTTTTAACTCAACCACTTTTTTTAACTCAACCTCACTATCATCAATATTATCAATATAATTAAATAATATCAATCAATCATTCTTACACACAACATCAGCCTTAACTAGTATTCGATCCTGTGCACATGCACATAGCGAAATAAAAAATATTTTATATGTACGTATATCATATTTAAAGATTTAAATTAGATAAAGTGTGTATTATATTTTAAAATTTTACCTATATGTAAATTTATAATATAAATATAAATTATAACTGCCATATAAATCAGTTTTTTGTTTTTTTGTTTTTGTACAACTATAACATAAAAATAGGAATATTAGCTGTAAAATAATGTAATATTTTCTATTTAGAAAATTTAAAATCTTGTAAAGCTGTTACAGAATAAAAAATTAATAATAATAAAGTTTTAATTGTGTAATTGTCATTTGAATGCTTTGAATGTTAGTCATACATATTTTTATTAAATGAAGTCCTATTTTTGTTAATTGTTGGTTGAATAAAATTTATTGAAGTTTGCCAGCAATTATATATATATATATATATATATATATTCACTATTTCAACAACTCATATAATTTTAACTAACCATCACATCACATCTTGTCTCTCCTACTTTTACATCAATTTAATTTTAATTATTTTATTTTAAATATTATTTTAATATACCTACTAACAACTAACCATACCAACTTTTTCAAATTTAACCAATCCAAACCAAAAATTCAATCAAAATAAAAACTTTTTATATCCAATCATGCTCTTAAACCTTGCTATCTTTAGAACTAAAGTCGAGCTCATTAGATAAAAGGATCGGGGCGGTACATATTTGTATGAGCTCAAACGACCTTGGATCTGCTCACGTCCAGTTCAAAGATCTGTAAAACAGTTCCGAGAGTGGTCCCAACATAGAGTCTCTGGCAATCAAATCAGAAAGTGTATGAAGAAGATGATGAACAGTACTGTATAAGTTTGTAAGTATATTATAATTTGTAGAGTTTGGATTGTCATGCATCACCCTTTATATAGAGGTGTTACCTTGTTGCCCAAGACTGTCTGGATGAATTGCCCTACTGCCCGAGCTACCCATTTGTACTGGTCAGGTGCCCAAACTGTCTGATTCTGTTAGCCCGGCCTTATCCATATGTGGTTTTTATCCTAATAATATTCTTTCTTATCTCTTAGTCTGCCTTATTAGACGGTCTAATCATACGACCAGCTCGACGGTTTTCTCATTTTGCTCGTGCACTCTATTCCTCAGGTTGATCCGTCGACCTGCATACCTCCAGGTTAAGTCTCTACCAGGCGAGGGCCCTAACTCGACCTGCAAAATTCTTAATTTTTGCAGTAAAGTTGATTTCGATCTCTTTTATGTCATTTTTGACTTTATTAACGTAATTCAGATACTTGATTATTAAATGTCAATCTCCAATTAGAATGCACTTGATTCTTCAAGTTACTTGCTACAATCTTCAAAATGCGTTCATATCTTTAAGAACAAATAAGGTTGAGAATGTCTTCCCTTAGACTTCAAGCGCTTAATTTGGCCAAGGCGGAAAAGCTCTTCTACCAACAAAAGGTCAAATGCAACTTCCAAGTAAATAGCGACAAGTGCACCAAGTTTTACCATGCCTTGGTCAAGAAAAGAACGAAGCGAAATTTTATTGCCTCGATCAACCAGGAAAATAGAACCGTGACCGACTCCCTTGATGAAGTTGCTAAGGAATTTGTGGGCTACTATGAGTCTCTCGTGGGGACTGGTATTGACACGGAGGATGTGGACTCTCATGTTCTTAAATCGGGACAGCTCATCACCGACGAGCNTTGGGGCCGGTGTGGTGTTGAAAATTCAAGAAATTTTTGATCCGACTCTCTTCTCAAGCAATGTAATCATACCGCCCTCACTCTTGTTCCGAAGTCCTCCCACTCTTCCCGAGTGACGGAACTTAGACCAATAGCATGTTGCAACACATTGTACAAAGTTTGCTCCAAGATCCTTGCTAGGCGAATTAGTGAAGTGCTAGATTCCATCATCGACGAGACTCAAGCCGCTTTTGTTAAGGGGAGGAATATTTCGGACAACATCCACCGCATGCAACAATTGTTCTGACAATACATGCGGAAAAGGGTAACCCCAAGGTGCACCATCAAAATCAATTTTCGCAAAACCTTTGATTCTATTTCTTGGTCGTTCTTGAAGCAAGTGTTTGAGAGTCTTGGCTTCCCATCGGCCTTCATGAGGTGGGTCATGGAGTGCGTCGCAATTCCATCCTACTCAATATCAATTAGCGGGAGCCTCAAAGGACACTTCAAAGGGGTGCGTAGACTTAGGAAAGGTGACCCCCTCTCGCCTTTCCTCTTTGTGATTTGCATTGAATATCTTTGTAGGCTTTTCAAGTGCAATACGAGAGAGGGCTCGAACTTCGAATTCCACCCGAAGTGTGAGCATCTCAAAATCACACACCTTGTCTTCGCCGACGATCTCATGCTACTCTCTCGAGGCGCGCCCCATCGTCCATTCAAATCCTCATGAATTGCCTCAAGGACTCTGGGGCTAAATCGGGGCTAGAAATGAATGTTCAAAAATCTAATATTTACTTGGCGGGAGTAAATGATGCTAACCGGATAACAATCCTTGATGACATGCACTTACAAAGTGGTCCAATGCCCTTTCGGTACCTCGGCGTCCCCCTCACCGCGGAGCTTGTCACCGCAAGGCTCTTTGATGTCTTAGATAAACAAATCGAGGAGCAACTTAGCGGATGGAGCGGTCATACACTCTCATATGCCGGTGGAGTGGAACTCATCCGCTCGGTGATCTAAGGTATCGAGTGTTTTTGGTTGGGGATTTTCCACTTGCCTACTATAGTCCATGCCAAAATTATCCAACTATATAGGCGTTTTTTCTGGGGCTCGAAAAGCGCTCTCGTAGCTTGGGATAGTTTATGTCCGCGCTCGGAAGGGGGCTTTGGTCTTCGTGATTTGAATGCTTGGAATCAAGCGTTGCTTGCACGCACTATTTGGAACATGCAAGCTAAAAAGGACACCTTATGGTACAAATGGATCCACCACATTTATTTGGGGGGCAAGTCCCTGTGGGAATGGGAAATACACAAGGATGACTCGCTCCTTTTCAAATATCTTTTCGAGATCCGACGGGCCTTGGTAGACAAAGCGGGAAGTGAGCAAGGCGCGAAAGCTCTACTTCATCGTTGGAGTTCACGAGGTAAGCAAGAGGGGTTGAGAAATTGCTATGATTTCTTAAGGCCCCGCGGTACATTGGTGCCTTGGAGGGGGGTGATTTGGGGCACTTGCAATCGCCCAAACACTCCTTCATTCTTTGGTTAGGAGTGCTCAATCGTTTCCATACAAAGGACCGGTTAGAGTTCCTCGATGAAGACCCGACTTTCTCTCTTTGTGGAGGCATTGTAGAATCATCGGGTCATCTATTCTTCGAATGCTCCTTTAGCTCGAAAATTTGGGGGGTAAATCGTGATTGGGTTAGCCTCCGTCATAGGCCTTTGACACTCAAAGGAGCTCTTAAATGGACCAAGAAGGAGACACGAGGGGCTAGTTGGCAAACAAATTGAAAAAAGCGGCGCTCGCGGCTACCGTGTACTTCATTTGGAATGCGAGAAATAGGTTGATTTCTGAAAATGAATCTCAACCTCCGAGTCTAGTAATCCGTAAGATACAAACTCATGTTTATCGTATAATCTTTGCGATGTATCCGAACGTGCTTGCCGAATATGAGAGGAAAGACCGAGGAGTGTAGGCTTCTCCCTTCCTTGGAAAACTTGGTGTTTGTCTTTCTGTTTTATTTTGGAACTTGAGTGAGCAACCGATTTGTGGTTGCCCTCTTAGACTTATTATCCGCAAGTGAGAAGCCGAGCTTGTGGTTGCCCACTACGTTTTGTATGCCGTTCGTCGGACATTTGTACTCCAGTTTTGATCTATAAATTTACCTTTAATGATAAATAAATAAATAAATAAATAAATAAATAAATAAAGGTTGAGAATGCACACACATTGTTTTTTTTCCTCTTGCCCGTCAAGATTTATCTCACTTAAATAAAAAGAAAAACAAAAACAAAAAAAAAATCTCCCGAACTCTTGAATTCTAAATTATGCTTACATTAATTATACAGATTTAAAAATGTACAAATTTGCATAGAAACTGAATTTTATTCGTTCTTTTCGCATTGCTCATTAGAGAATACAATTCAAATTAAAACACAGAAAGTTTCTTAAGAAATCACACACACGTCAAGAGGGAAAGTATAAATAACTATTTATATTCTACAGCGTGCTTGCCATTGATTGATTGGTTTTATGGCCATAAGACATATATTTTTTTTTTGGTACAAAGAAGGGGCCCAAAGGCCTAAGCTAATACTCGTCGGGGATAAGACACCCCGATAATATCATGATCTAGCCAAGCACCTAATCCTTTCGGAGGGAGAGCGAGGCGATGTACTCCAATCGGGAAAGACGCCGCCATACTCGCCATGTGATCAGCCGCAAAGTTTGCTTCTCTATATATATGTTGGATATTAAGACTCCAATCCCTTTGAATCAACTCCCGAATAGCGGTAACCATTGCATCATGGGGTCCCCGATCGCCGTCGGGCTCGCACACCAATTTCTTCACACTAAGACTATCAATCTCAGCAACAACTTTATGATTGTATTGAGGTGTTTTTATACCCCTTCGATCGAAAACAAAATGTTAAATTTATGGGAAAATTCTTAATTAATTTCCATCTCTTAATTAGTTAGGTCCCCCCCCTCTTCTATTTTTTCGTGCAATAATATACAAACGAAAGAGGTAAAATTGAAGACAAATCATAATATTCCCGGGGACTAAGGAGTAAAATTGAAGTTGAGGTTCAAGATGCCCAAAGTTATCCGTCCAAATATTGCGGANGAAAGTGAAAATATATCTCCATCAATCAAATGGACAGGACAGCCCAAATATTTTTATATAAATGCACCAACAATGGAACTTCAGATTATCAGCGACCTGTTTCAATCATACTGTTAAAAAGTGTACTGGAACAATCGTTTGGATATGCAAATGCACACATGAAACGCTAATCACTGTTTTGTACAGAAAGAAACTACTGACCAAAAAGATGTGAGTCATAAGTCCCCTTGTCTGCTCCTATGTTCCGTTAGTCTTGTCCAGACGACCTTTCCACAACGTGCCAAAGTTAACAGTGCTATGCCATACAGTAGAGGAATGCCAAGCACACAGCCTCCAGGCGCAAGATTAATCAGTGTCTAGGAAAGAGCCAAAGGTTATTTAAAGAAGAGAACATTTAGAAACGAAAACAAAACTAAAATTTAAAATGAAAAAAAGAACATATCAAAGTATTAGAATAATATTTGCAAGTATTAGAATTAGAAGTATCATAATGTTGTGACACACTTCCCTAATGTTCCCCAGGCAAGCATCTTTCCTATAAGAATAGTGAATCCCACAAGCAATGCTAGGTTATATGTATAAATAATCAACCAAAAAAGTTCAAGACAACAGGCTTGATCACGCAGAGACTGGACATGGATGTATACTGGCAGATTAGAGGAATGAGAAAGTCTTAAGTTTCTCGAGAATTTCAAAGGTTGTAAGTAAATGCAGTAGGTGCAGCTGAACTCCAAGGCTATTCCAAATACCTCACGCAGTCTAACATCATATAACACTAAAGGTTCACAAAATCTATGTGAATAATGGGTTGCGAAAATGTAACTATTAGTGAGGTTAAAAAAACCTCACTGATATATGTATACAGTACGAATGGAACATATCATGCAGAAAGTGAAAACAAGGACCAAGAATAACAATTATTAGCATTTACGCAGCAGCATGGACAATAAGAAGCAAAATACTGTTTGTAACAAGGGGCAAGAGTAAATATTACAAGCATTCCTGCAGCAAGGTGAACTATAGGAGCAAAATACAAGTCGATTCTGTTTCCTTCCGAGCAACCGTTGAAAGCAATAACCATTGAGAAAGTGTGGATTGTGGCAAACGCAAGTGCTATAATAGCTGCAAAAGAAAAGAAGAACGAAAGAAATAAGTAAGGGAGAAGAAGAAAATTTCAGCTTCAACCACCAGTGATCTTAGAAGTGGTACTGGGTAATTGCCATGATTACATAAAACTATTTATCAAACTTCATGAGGAAAAGACATACATGCCATTTTCATCATCACAATACCATTTCAAGGTACATCGAAAAGTAAAAAATGATTAAATCGCACTAGCAACTATATTTACTGGATGCGATTACATCTATCTTCATCATGGATTGGCAGCAACTCGTCAGTGTCACACTTCTTATCCCCTTCATAGAACTGATTTTTCACCACTATATGAAATTATAAGAAACTACATTTTTCCTCACAACAATATGCTTCTAAGAATTTAGAACACATGTAATAATGCTTACAGTATATTTCAATTCGTCCAAAAACAACAGCCAGCAAAACATTTCCACAATTACAAAACAAACTCTACTTTTTGTGCTTCCAATGCATTTCTATCAAGCGCCCAAAAGATATTTTCCACAATCACAATTTCTCCAAAGCTTTTCTCATCACTTACCAAACAAAGGTTTATTTACTGTATAGTCTCCAGGTTCACAAATCTTCATGGTCCTTTGAAATCAGCAATTTTTCAATTGAATTATAACACAATGAACCATTCTATATATACATGCATAATGACTTGGGAACCATTTGTCCATTGCAAATGGAGCTGGAAGAGTCATAGAGCCATTGTTGACAATTCTCCTGGCATAGTGCCAATAATGGCTAGATCAAAATGGCTCAATTAAATTCTAGTGCTTCTTCTATTAGTGAAGTTTCTAGAAAAAAAAAATATATCAAACTGTGCAATGCACCTTGGGTCGCTACGGAAACAGCCTCCTTGTATAATTACAAGGGTAAGGTCTGCGTACAACTGAGCCCCCAGACCCCAACCTGTTGGGAATATACTGGGTATGTTGTTGCTGTTGTTGTTGTAATGACTTGGGAACCAAATAGGGTCCAGTTGTTTTGTTCTCATCATCCCAATATCCCATTTTGCAAACTATAAACTCTAACTGTATATTCAGATGAAGGTGTATTGCTTTCTAACCACACACTTTACATCCTTTTGGGTTGCCCATTTAACCTAGGATAAATCGGGTAACAATGATGTGCAATATCAAGATGGTTGGTACCTCACAGATTTTGTTGCAAGAGAAATCTTTCATTGAAGATTGAAAATTCTTGATGGGCTTAGAACAATGGAAGGAGATTTTTCATAAACACAAATTAAAGTCAATCAGAATGTGCAGACACGTCAGGCATATTAGGAAGAAATTATACGGAAAGTTGGAAACTTAAGCTGTAAAACATACTATTTGATCATAGTCCAAAAAGGTTACACCGTATAGGAAAGTTGTCGATTTGATTTCAGATTCCAACTAAATCAAGATAGATTTAATAATCATAGAAGTCATAATCCCGAATGCACAAGTGATTTTGAATCCAAGATTAGTAAAATATAAAGAGATGATGCATAAACTGTTTATTACAAAATGGATATGGACAGATTTAGGTGAAATATAGGCTAATCCAATCATTGATAAATTCAAACTAAATGTCCGTTAAAACAACCAACCACTTACCAGATACAAGAAAAAATGGAATCTGAGAGCATTTCTCCACATAATAGGTTGCTGGGCCAAATGCAGGCGTTAAAAGGCTTATGCAAAAGAAAATAGCATGGGCCACACCATGACCCATTCCACCTGCTGCAGACCAGAAAACAGTAGCACTTAATAAAGCACAATAGCAAAATTAACAGAACTGTTTCACACACTGTGCATATTATCTAAG